AATAAGAATTGCAACATAATACATGACATTTGTTGAACCTTCCATCTCTCAGCAACACCATTCTCAGCTGCTGTGTACAGATTTGGGCATCTGTGTTTTATTCCTAACTGTCCCAACCACTGTTGAAAACTTGCTGACATGAATTCTGAACCTCTGTCAGTTTGTAGCCGACATACCTGTTGCTCATACCTTCTTTCTATGAAGCTTACCCATTGCTTAAATTTCTGTAGCACCTCTATTTTACTCTTTAGTAAATAGCAGAACCCAAACATGCTGCTCCCAAACTGGCTTGTGGTGGATTTTCAACAATATTCAACAATATTCCACAGCTCTTTAGCCTTCAGGAAACTCTCCATCTTTGCAGCCAAAATTATATAGTTCTTCTGTCTCAAATGAGGCAGAGAGCTCTCCTTAATTTCAACAGTAGCCATCCTGCAAAGTCTACTTTGCCTGATTTCTCCTTTTAAACACAGGCAGTCTCTCAGCTTAAATTACAATTCAGTCTTTTTGTGTGTTCTGGACTAAGCCCATAACCTGTTAGAGTTTGTTGCAGAAATCAAATCCAGAAAGAACACACAGACGATTGATCAGCAGGATTCATTAACTTCTTTATATACATAATAATATATGAGTAAATGCACAGTACCAATAGTAGATTCTTCCAATGTAACACAAGCAGAAAGAGAATAGTTTCAGGTTTTGGGGGCGGGGCTAAAGTCACAGTGAGACGATGAGTGATTCAGGGCTCTTGAAAAGCCATTGAAATCCTGCAGCTGGATGGTCCAATTTGGACCTAAACCATCCTGAAGAGATGGTGAAAGAGGGGAGCACATTCTATAAATCCCAGGGACACTGCAAAGTCCCTGGTTGATCCAGAAAATCTCCCTAAACCAGTTGCAGAGGAAAGCAGCCATTAAAGCTGCTGAAAGGCTGGGACAGCTCCGGAACAGAAGAAGAATGGAAGGAAAGTGTCGGATCTGGGTGAGGACTTTTTCAAAAAATATTTTTTGCTAACTACAATAGAGTACCCTAAAGGGAAGAAGAATTTTAAGAATATAAGAAGACAGAAGAAAGAGATTAGTGGCAAGCAGAGCATGTTTAACTGTCAAACTGAATTAGGACTAATTTACCGTGATTCTAACAAGAGATTAACTTTTAACATTTAACTGGACTGGACTCTGTGGCAAGAATTAGAGAAAAATAAATTTTAATTTTAAATATTGGATTTTTCCCTTTTTTAAATCTACTAATTTATAAATTTTAAAAGTGAATTTTTTTTAGAAACAATATGACAAAGAAGTGAAAGAAAAGCAATGGTGCCACCTAAAGGTTATAGAAAAGCTGGAAAGATCAAAGGACTGAATCTGTGAGAAAACTGTTTTGACTGCAGGCTGTTTAGACTTAAAAGAAAGATAGCCGAGTGCTGAACTACTGTTTAAACCAGTGCAGCTCTTGTAAAACAATCTAAACAGCTGGGGATTGAAGAGGAAAGAGAAAAGACTACTTTGACCTTGGACTATACTTTGCTTATGTTTTGATTTGGCCTTTTTGGACACTATAAGGTGGCTTGGACTTGCTTTGTGATTTCTACCTAATATTTGGATAAAATTATTGCTGGCTATTTTATTTTATTTTATTTCTTGCTGCTGATACTCCTTTTGCGCCTTCTTACTTTTTTATTCCTAATTTTTTTGTTCTTCTTTGGAACATCTTAGCTTTCTTTCTTTTCTTATTTTGTATATACAATGTGTATATGTGTGTGTGTGTGTGTGTGTGTGTATGCGCGTGCGCGCACGCGCGCACACACACACACACTATTTGACCTTTTTGCTATTATTGGATTATTGCCGGTGGATTACACACACACACATATTTACTTCTTTTTCTTTTGTATGGCTCCTCTGTGGATTTTCACCTTTAGATTTTTAAATTTTTTATTTTTATTTTTTTCTTTTTGATAAGGAGAGCTTGGCTTTTTTATAATTGGATTTTTCACAATTGGATTAAGGTAGAGAAGAAACTGAAGAAAGACGGCCCTAATTAATTTTGTGTTTGGGTTTATAACTATTTTGAAATGAGGAAGACAGCTGCAACAGCATATTCAATTTCTACTTCCTCCTAAGTCCAGCAGGTCAGTGATCAATACAAGCTATGTTACAATAGGAAAAAGAAAAGGAAAAGGAAAAAGAAAAGTTTCAATGCAAGAACTAAAAATAATGATGCAAGCATACAAGACCAAGGGAAAGCGAGTGGAAGATAAAATGGAAAAAATGGAAGGGAAAATAGAAAATATGCAACAAATGATGATGAAGAATGAAGAAAATGCAAAAGATAAAAGGGACAGACCAGACAGAGAAAGACCTTGGCCGGGCTCCTTGAGAGACAAGGAGTTTGCAGAGGGCCGAACTAGCACCTGGGCTGGCTATAACACAAATGTTCATTCTCAGCCTTGAGATTCCTAGCTGCAATGGACAGCAAAGCAAGGGTTGATGCTGGCTGCATCTCTCTGCTGCAGTGCTTCCTGGACACGGCTTACAGTTCTGAGCCCAAAGCAGCAGGAGGTGAGGGCTGCCTTGGTGCCACCAGCTGGCATAAATGTACCACGATGAAGGCAGAATGCTGTTGCCACACAAAAGCAAGTCAAGGGGTGCTTTGCTCCAACACACTAAGGCTCTGGTATTACCACCACTGCGTCAGTGTCCCTGCGCCACCCCCCTTGCCGCAACAGCACCATTAACTCATTCTGGCTGGCGAGGGCTGCACTACTCCTTGCACTCTTGTACCACCTTCTATGATGGAGATTTCCAGCCCCACCACAAGCTGCCCAGCCTGTCGATATACCCAGGTGAAGGAACTGCTCTGGGACGTCTAATGAGCCAAATGTGACTAGAGCTCTGGAATATGGAAGCAACTTTCTCACTGATGTCAGCAAACCTCCGTCAGTCTGGCTGTCTTTTTCCTTCACTCAGATCAACCACAAAGCTTCTTCTTGAGAGAAGGAACACAAAAGAGGTTCCTGGAAGGCTGCGTGGCTGGAATAAGCACTTTCTCTCAGGCCTCCCACCCAGAGGCCTCGCAGAAGGAAGAGATGGGCGGGAGACCTAAGAAAAAGCATCTGGTCTGGGAACACAGTGCCCCAGTGCAGCACTTTCCCAAGGGCCACTCGTTTGCCCACCCACTGGCCAAACTGGGCCAGAAGCAGCACATCCCCTGGTCATGGGCTGGATGCAGGGCATGAGGGGGAGGGCGAGCAGGCAGCAGGCGCCCAGTGGAAGCAGAGGCAGGCCCAAAAGGAACTGTCCAAGGCAGCCTTTCAGCTGAATGCAACAGGTCCAGGACGGATTTCCATCTTCCCCTCACCCCCATTGGCCTCCCTTCCAGTTCCAGCCCAAAGGATTCACACCGCTCTGCTCACCACGGCTACCTGCAAAGGTAAGGCCCACGCTCTGCCAAAGGTCACGGGCTGGTGGGGGAAGCCGGCTGGCAGAGGGGCAATGCAGTTGGTGCAGTCTCATGCTCCCTGGCCGCTGGTAGCCATGACAGGCGAGGCCTAGAACCTGCAAAATCCTGGTGTGGGGGGGAAGCGAGATGTGGGTTGGTGGGGAGGCAAGTGGCAGTGGCTCAGCCCTGGTTCGCCTTCTTCTCTGCCACCAAAGCTTTCAGTCATTAAGTTGGTAAATAAAGGTCCCAACATCTTGGTGAAATACTTTTCCCATTAAGTTATTCAGAGACTTGCTGGCCTCATCACCTGCCAATGACCACCTGGTTTACAGGATTGCTCTGGAAATAACCAATTTCTGAAATCTATGTGCTTTGCCAGGATTTTAGGCATCAATTAGTTCTAGCCCAAGCAAAGTCTGACATGTGCATAGGAATGGAGACATTTCAGATATGTTTTAACTGGTGAATTAATTTGATTTGCATTTTAAGAGAGCTGCATTAAATATGTTTCTGTAAGTATGCAGAGATAAGTAAATAGCTTATCACAAAGAAACAGAATTTAGATGACCAAGACTTTTGGGAAGTGGGCATTTATCTCTCCTTACTGGCATTTTCAAACTAAGGATTTTTTTCCTATGTTGTCTTCAGCACCACTACAAAGAAAATTATCTAAAATCCTATTTGAAAAACATGTTTGTCTGTGTTGAACAGGAAATGTTGGAACAATTGAACATGTTATTTTATTATATATCATCTATAGGGATATTCACAATGCTTATATACTGCCGTTTACATCAGTTACCTTGTGCAGTCTTACAATATTTGTTCATTAAATAAATGTATTTAATACAAATACTTATATGTTCATCATTTTGCAGATTGTAAATCATTAGAATATGAAGATAAATTTTCAAGTAGCATTTGAGGAAAAGCACCAGATAGCAATTGTACTTAGACTTATATACTACCCCACAGTGCATTACAGCATTCTCTGGGCAGTTTACAATGTCAGTGTATTGCACCCAGCAATCTAGGTCCTCAACCTCGAAAGGATGGAAGGCTGAGTCAATCTCAAGCCCCATCAGGATTGAACTCCAGGCTGTGGGCAGTTAGCCTGCAACACTGCATTCTAACCATTGCACCACCAAGGCTCATAAAAGATCACAAAAGACCACTTAGACTTTCTGTTAAGTATATTTATTCAGTACACATTCTATATGGCGATAACAATATGTTGACTATTTTACTCTTTTAAGCTCAATTAAGAAACTACATAGGTGGGGAGTATTCATTAAGTTATTTCTGGATGGGTAGGCCCCACTGATTCTTACAGCTGACCAGGGAGACAAAAGTAGAAACTGCTGGATCAAGAATGAAAAATTGCATTTCTTCTAAGGTGAGATAGTTGTTATTTATCTCAATGAGCTTTAGGTACAGGAAAACCATTTCACATCTGATTTTTCTATAAACACATCAGGAAATATAGCAATTTTCCGAAAGAGAATATTTTACATTCCAAGTATTATTATTATTATTATTTTTTTTGGGGGGGGGGGGGGGGTTCAGATTTACTCCTGCAAAACTGCCAGATCATCTTCAGAATAACACCATTTAGACCAGGGCTGACAAACTCCCGGCCCATGGGCCAGATGCATCACGCACTGGCCATTCACACACCCAGTTTAGCGAAGGGGGAAAAAAATCCTGATACGTCATGTGATGCCGCTATGACGTCGTGAGTTTGACAACCCTGATTTAGACAGAACATTTTGGGGCCAAAGTCTAAACATTCTGCATCTGCCAAATGTTGCCAACACCAAGCAGTTGTAAGCCAATCAGTAACCTATTTGTGTATATGAAACCATCCCTTCCTGTTGGCTACTAGGAAAATTACCATTTTTCGTTCAGATGCAAAGTCAAACACACCAAAGATTAAATCTTTTGCCCTGGATCAAGAATGGTAAGGAACATGTCGACTTAAAAACCCTTAGCTACAACTTGGCAACATCACTGGTGTGGGTTGAAGAAAAAATAATGTCAATAGCCTTCTTTATGCACATGATAGCAGGAATATGCCAGATATACCAGCCCTGAGAACTGGCACTCTGCACTGACAATTTTTCATTGCTTTTAAGGCAAATGACAACAATAATGTCCATGTTAAACAGACTCTTCTAAATATCCCCTTCTTTCTGCATTTGTAAAAAAACGTAAGAAAGTACTTGGGAATGAAGAATTAAGTGGCAACACTCACATTCTCTAGGTTGTATTTAGGGCATTTTTTGTGAACTGGGAAGGTAGAATACACACTCTTGTTTTGTTCTTGGTTGTGAACTGGGAAGGTAGAATACACACTCTTGTTTTGTTCTTGGTCTTTGCAAAACCTTTTGACATAGTCCTAATTATTCCAAGGACAGTAACAGTATTGCATCTTTGGTCAGAATTAATATGACAACTAAGCACATTTACCTGGGGAACATTCAAGATGGCCATTCACTGTTTTACAAGTATTCTACAAGATGATAATTTTCCATTCACAGCAGCCTCACCTGTAAATGAGGGCAGGGATGTCCCAATGTAAACCTCATTCTTCAGTACTTGCACACCAAGATCAGTTGCAAATACATACCGTATTTTTTGTATTATAAAATGCTCCAGATCATAAGATGCACCTAACTTTTGGGGAGGAAAACAATTTTAAAAAAATCTGTCTTTGCCTCCTTGCAGCAAATAGCAAACAGCCTGGTCAGCTTCAGCATGATTTAGCGTGAGCAGCTGATTGGTGGTTGGATCGGCCTCCTGGAATACCGCCAATCAGCTGTTCCAGGCTGCACTGTCACTGATAGCTGCTGCCACCTATCACCGCCTCCGCATGGTCCATTTTCAGCCTCCGTGCACCCCATTTTTGGACTCTACGCATCCCATTTTTGGCCTGTTCCAGGCTGTGGGGATTGCCGCCGCTGATTGCTGCTGCCCGGAACCGGCCAAAAACAGGACATGTGGAGGCCACAATTGGGGCAAGTGGAAACAGTGATAGGTGGCGGCAGCTATCAGCAATGATCCCCGCAATCTGGAACAACTGGTGACCAGGCTGTTTGCTATTTGCTTCAAGGAGGCAAATTGCTGGGAGGCAGAGGCTGAAGGTAGGGGCTGGCGGGTGCGTGGGGCTTTGGCTACATTTGCTCTATAAGATGCACAGACATTTCCAGCCACTTTTTTGGGGGGAGGGGGGGATGTGCGTTTTATAGTGCAAAAAATACGGTAAGTTGTATGATTTGCCACGTGAGCCATGTTTTATCACTCGCTTCTCACTTGCTCTTCCTCCCTGGTTTTCACTCTGCAAAATTAAGATGTTAATCCATTTTGAAACTCATTTCTCTGATTAAATGCAAGACGACTTGCTCCTTTGGATAATTAAGTCTCACTGGGTCACATTTAGCAAGGCAAACACAACTGCAGTTCTGGTTCCAATTAAGGCCAGATAATGGGCAGGAACAGAAGGCGATTAAACACACTAGACAGATTTTATATCTTTATGATTTCACTCCTATTTGCACAAATGTCACTCTTGGGTCAGAGGTGGGCCAGTGAAAGTTCAGTTTTTCCTCCAGTTGTTACCAGTTCGATCAAACTTCCAGAGTCGGGCCGGTTTTTACCCATGATCCAGTCATAAAAGATTCTGGCAGAACAGATGGAAACAAGTGCATGAGTTAGTTTCATTGGAAAGTTTCACATTCCAAGTGCTCATTGAGTTTCCATAGTTATTCCATAATTTCCCTATTAATAAAGTTCTGAGATAATAAGCTGAAAAGCAATTTGAGTCCTTCATTCAGACGACCTTGTAAAAGATTACAGTGCAGAAGTTTTCATTTTAATGGGCTTGAGATGCATCTCTTAATCTTCCTGAAAAGACAAACGTCCTAAATCCAAAGATTTGTTAAGATGTAACATTATTTTTGTAACGTACAAGAACAACTGTTCTCAGCTTCATCGTGGCTACTACTAAAAGAAGCTAAACCACCTCCTATATACAAGGAAATAATTCCCAATCTACAATTTAAAAGAGGCACTATGAAGTTGAGGTGGGTTTAAGATGTCTCAGCTAAGGGAGATCTCTCTTCTATAGTTCAGTTTATCCTGCTTGCACAAGGCAGAAAATAACCAAATGGATCATACATAAAGGAACTGAAGGAACTGATGCAAAACATCACTCCATCCATCTGTCAATTTCTCCATCCACATTTCATAATGTAAGTTTTGAGAACATGTTAAAGGTCCATTCATAATACGGCACCTGGAGGACAGATAATCAGTTATCCATACCAATGAACAAGTTTACCACCCATTACCCCACTGCAGGCTCCCAGATGTGAGTCTTTCTACCTATTCTTATTCAAGATAACCCCTTTTCCAGGGCTGATGGGTCAATGCAACAATACGCAAGGCTTAGCCAAACACCAGTCATTTTACCATAAAGTTTTGGGGGAACTAGGTGGTCTTTGATGCAAGTAAACAAACAATGCAAATAAAAATAATACTTGAAGTTGGTGTTTTGCTTCTCATTCTTTTAAATTATTGATTTTTAACCAAAAATAAAAAAATCACATGAGGAAAGGAGTCAAGCAATATCTGAGGTATACTTGAACCACAATAGAACCCCAGTTATGAAAACAATATTGATATCATTTCCTTATATTTATGTGTCTGAAAGAATGCTCTGGTTGACAGTTTGGGGTTGAATTGGCATTTACTGGTCACCCCACAGTCTAGAGCAGGGGTCCCCAACCACCAGTCCGCGGACCGGTACCGGTCCACGGAACAAGTCCTACCGGGCCGCCGGTTGCTGGGCGCCATCTTTTTTTGATGAAAAAGTGCTTCCAGTGAGCTTTTCCGGGTAGAAAGCTCACCGGAAGCATTTTTTCATCAAAAAAAGATGGCGGCGCCAGCGCTTCCGGTGAGCTTTTCCGGGTAGAAAGCTCACCGGAAGCACTTTTTCATCAAAAAAAGATGGCGGCGCCCAGCTGATGCCGGTACCGGGCCGCGGCGCCCAGCTGATGCCGGTACCGGGCCGTGGCATAAAAAAGGTTGGGGATCACTGGTCTAGAGCACTTTTGAGTCTTCTGAATAGCAATGCAGCAGGCATGTTGAAAAAACTTTCAAGATGGTAGCCTTCACTACACAATAGAAGCTTTTTTTATTTATAAAATTTGTAGGCCACCTATACCAAGCATCTCTAGGTGGCGTTTGTTTTTGCTACATAAAAAGCCTTGGCCCTTATATTAAAAAAAGGCAAGTCTTCTCAATGTCCTTGCTATCTAGTTCAGCCTCTTTGAAGCTGAGCAATCGATTTCACAGCCTCCCCCTGGAAGAAAGCATGCAAACACATAGAAAAGCGGCGTCATCAAGTGCTCCCGAGAAAGGGAGAAAAATAGCTCAGAATTCCCTCGGGGAAAAAAGTCAAGCGTTGGTCAGTTATAGGAGATTCAGTTCTCAGGGGAACAGAACCAGCTATCTGTAGACCAGACATTCAATCTATGGACGTATGTTGTCACCCTGAAGCAAAAAAACAAACATGTGGCTGAGAACCTTACTAAAATAATCGAACTCAACGGATTACTATCCCTTTCTTCTGCTTCACATAGGGACAAATGACATGACAATGAACCTGAAAACAATATTGTGAAATTATGAGCAGCTAGGCAAGAAAGTTAAAGAGTTGGGAGCACAAACGGGCTTTTCATCTCTACTTCCAACAATAGGTCAACATCCAATGAGGGAACAACGAATTTTAGAAATGAACCATTGTCTTAAGAGTTGGTGCTGCCAAGAAAACTTTGGATTCCTAGACCTAGGTCTGCATTCCCAACATGAAAGGCTTCTTGCAAGGGATGGGCTGCACCTCACAAGAATCAGGAAGAATGTATTTGGAAAACGACTGGCTCAATTTATCAGAAAAGCTTTAAACTAAAATTGAGGGGGGAGGGAGACCAACCCTTAGGATCTTTAGGACCTAATCCCAACTATAAATCCTAAGACAACCAATCAAACAATGAGGTAAGGAGTGATGGGAAGGAAGAAAAACTCAGAAATAAAGTAGGAGATATAGGAAGCATACCCAGGATCAGAAATGCAGGACTCAAATATCTATACACAAACACTTAAAGTTTGGGGGAACAAACAAGGTGAACTTGAAGTCCTAGTACATGAGGGCAAGTATGATATAGTTGCTAATACCAAAACTTGGTGGGATGAAACTCAGGACAGATGTACTGATAGAAATCTTTCAAATTGTTCAAAAGAAACAAATCTAACAAAAGAGGAGGTGGAAATGCATTATATGTAAGACATTATTACATTTCTATAGAAATGCATAAAAGCAAGAATAAGCCTCCCAGAATGAATATGGGTCAATAAAAAAGGAGGGGAAATTGCCATTGCCATAGGTATATAATACAGCCGCCTCCCCAATCAAGAAGAAGAAATAGGTTGTTTTAGGCCCAGTACTCTTCAACATCTTCATAAATGATTTAATGAGAAGGGGAACTCATCAAATTTGCAGATGACACTAAACTGGTAGGAAAAGCCAACAGCCCAGAAGATAGGCTGAAAATCCAGATAGATCTCAACAAACTTGAACACTGGGCCCCATCTAATAAAATGAAATTCAAGTTAGCGAAAAGTAAGGTTTTATACTTAGGCAAGAAAAATCAAATGAACATGTACAGTTTAGGTCAGTGGTGACTAACCTTCTCAGCACCAAGCAATCCTAGGTTGCATTAATAGCAGAGTAGAATCAAGATGATGTGAAGTATTAGTACCTCTTTATAAAGCCTTAGTAACACCAGACTTAGAATACTGCATCCAGTTTTGAACACTGTTATTATAAAAAGATGTAGAGAGTCTGGAAAGAGTGCAAAAAAGAGAAACAAAGATGATTAGGGAGCTGGAGATGAAACATACGAAGAACAGTTGTAGGATTGGGTTTGTCTAGTCTAGTGAAAAGAAGGACGAAGGATGACAGGATGGCAGTGTTTCAATATTTGAGGCACCGCCATAAAGAAGAGGAGGTCAACCTATTTTCCAAATCACCAAAAGGCAAGACGAGAAACAATGGATGGAAACTAATCAAGGAGAGAACCAACCTAGAACTAAGGAGAAATTTCGTGACAGTGAGAACAATTATTAGCCAGTGGAATAGCTTGCCTTCAGAAGTTGTACGTGCTTCATCACTAGAGGATTATAAGAAACTGGACAACCACTTATCTGGAATGGTAGAAGGTTTCCTGCTTGAGCAGGGGATTGGATTAGAAGATCTCCAAGGTCCCTTCCAACTCTGTTATTCTGTTTTTCTTCTTCAAACATGGCCACCATAATGGCTCCCCCCCCCCCCCACTCTGGACATCCAAGACTCCAAACATCGATCTGCAGGACCTTTACAAAACTCAGATTTTGTTATTCCACAAATCTCTGGACCAAAATGCATGCACCAGATGTTCAAGGCTTCAAACGAGTGGGAGCTGGAAAAGTTTTGTTTGCTCACCCTGCAATGAAATCTAGTGGTGTCCAGGAGCTGAAGTCAGCCTCTGGCATGGACTTCCTGTTCATTGGAGTATCCAAGGTAACCCTGGAAGAGAAAGAAAAAGAGTGGTCTAATTAATGTTAACCATCAAAGCGTTTAATTACTGTTTCTCAACCTTGACAATCAACTTTAAGATATGTGGACTTCAACTCCCAGAATTCCCTAGCCAGCATGACTGGGAGTCCACGCATCTTAAAGTTGCTAAGTTCGAGAAACACCGTTTTAGACAAATAAAATAGAAAGTTGGTAAAATGTCCTTTCACATCTTTGGATTCACAAGTCATGAGAAGATTAAAAACGTCAAGATCACAGCAGGGACCACACTATCAAAATCTCCCCCTCTTTTTATATGTGTGGCACATGCCTCTGGATCTAGGCCCAATGTTCAAGCCACTTCTCTTTGAAGTTCCAACTCTGCAGGTGTTTGGCACCCAGTGAATTTCAGGCCATCCCTTGAACTACGTAACTCCCATGTGATTCCAGAATGACTTACGGGAGAATCGCAACAGCTGCAGCGCCAGCAGGGAGGCCACTGTTTGAACCAGAGAGACTCTGACAGAGTTGATGGACAGCTCCTTTGGCCATGCCGTATGCAATCATTCCTAGAATACAGAATAAAAGAGTTGGAAGGGACCTAGTCCAGGGGTCTGCAACCTTAAACACTCAAAGAGCTATTTGGAACCATTTCCCACAGAAAACACCGGGACCCACAAAACCTGGGTGGGCGTGGCCAACTCTACTCCCACATATGACACCCCACCCCCCCAGCCATGCCTACCCAGGTTTCGTGGCTCCTGATGTTTTCTTCTTTTTTTTTTTTTATAAAAGTTTTATTTGGGTTTTCACACACAAGTAAAACATCTTTTTTGAAAATAGCATGGTCCCAGGTTACACTTCTTTATACAGACACAAACTCAATTTCATGCTCATTTTTGTGTTCTATTCCATATCTTATTACTATTTTGCATTTTCTATATAGTTTTTCCCCTCTTTTAATTTTCTCAACTTTATTTTAATTATCTCATCTCAGTTCAATCCATTATATTTATACTTTTGTCTGTCCTGTTTCAATTTCATATTATCTTTTCTCATTAAACAAATTTTCTCCTGTAGTTACTAATTGGAGTATGACAACTTTATATCTTTGAATTTTATCCATTCAGCTCTTATTTAAACTTCAATATATACCTTAAGGTTATAACATTCAATATAATACATAATACATAACTTCCAATCGAATTCTACTTGGTACATTCTTAAAATACACACTATATTCTTAAAAAAACAAAGGATTATAAATATATGTAATTAAAACCCTCATTCCATTCCAATTCAGTTCTATCAGTAATATTCATTAAAGTCTTAACATCTTTAACATTTCTTTTCAATTAAATATCATACTTCCTTGGAAACACGTATAATCTTTCCATAATTAATTTTTCCCCTATTTCTCTTCACTTATGTTTTATAAATCATTAAATATTCATTTTATTACATTTATTTATTAACAAACATTCCACTAAATTACGATAACTATTTTATCCATCATTTTAATCATACATTGTTTCATATTTTCTGAAATTATTTCTATTTCTAATATAACAATACTATCTTATGTACCTTTGCAGAATCCCTTTTTCAATTAAATTTTCACCCATTATCTCTAAATAGGCCGTTTCTCTATATCTTGTTTCTGTCCTTTATAACTTCTTTTCCTTTCTTTCTTCCCTCTCTTCTTCTCCCTCCCCTTTTTACCCCCTTGTCTCTCTACTTCTAATTCTCTCTTCTGCATTTCCCTCTTCTGTTGCTTTCTGATTTTATACTTATTTTTCACTCTATTTTTGGGGGGGTTGTTTTTCCAAATCTTAAGCTTTTCATTCTCTTTCCCCCCTTTCCCTTTTATTCCCCACATAAAAGTACTTGTTCATTAAAGATGGCTTCTTCTTTGTCCCAATCTTCTTGTTCTGCAGATGTTTCTTGTTGTTTCTCATAGTTCCAAATCTCCATTTCTAAGAACTGAAATACGAAGCCAAAAGAACCTCTCCCTTCTTGTGCATCTTCTTTGTACTTTTTAAGTTCCATTTTCAGTTCTTCTAAAAGTGGTGCCATTTTAAACACTTTTAAACAACCACCCGATTGATTTTAGTCATCCAAATGCAATAACCAAAAATCCAGAAGTCACCAAATAATCCAAGTACTCCCAAACTGTTTCTTCTTGCTTCTTTTTTCACTTTCTCTTCCTGGGGTTTTATTGTAGCCTTCCCCAGATTTGTGCCTTGCAATAATGCTTCATATATTTTAGCCATCAGACCCCTAATCATTTTAGTTGCTCTTCTCTGCACTCTTTTCAGAGTCTCCATATCTTTTTCATAATGTGGTGCCCAAACCTGGATGCAGTATTCCAGGTTTTTGTTATTCTAAAGTTTTATAAAATGGTACTAATACTTGATGTGATCTTGAGTCTATCCCTGTTGTTTATGCAATTTAGGACTGCATTGGCTTTTTTGGCTGCTACCACACACTGCTAGCTCATATTTAACTGGCTGTCCATTAGGACTCCAAGATTCTCTCACAGTTACTGCTGTTGATCCAAGTTTCACATAATCTATACATTTGATTTTTTCTTGCCTAAGTGTAAAATCTTACTTTTCCCTACACTAGATTTCATTTTGTTGGATAGGACCAGTATTCAAGTCTGTCAAAATGGATCTTGAGCTTATCATCTATGTTGGGTCTTCTTGCCAACTCAGTGTATCTTCTAACGAAGATATTGAAGAGTATGGGGCCTAAGATGAAATCTTGGGGTACCCTACTGCTTACTTCCAAATACACTTATGGCAATGGCATTTTTCCCCTTTTATATTGGACCCATATGTGTTCCAGGTGGTTTTCAACCTTGGTTTTGTGCATTTCTGTACAAAAATGATGTCATTTTTGATATCATATAATGCAATTTCACCTTTTTTATTACACCTGTTTCTTTGAATAGTTTGTATCCACAAATGAAGGTGAATATATCTCAGGATAATGTTGCAGGATCCAATTGGGGTACGTCAGAAGTACCAGAGGCTTTGTCTTCCAAGCTTTCGGACTTGTGCTGGAGCCATCTTCAGAGAACTTCTCTCTAGCAGTGTGTGCTGTATGTGGCTTTTTATATTCTGACTGGGGTGTGTTGAAGACTAGCTTTTAAGTCATTGGCTGTTGTTTGCTTGTGCTGCCCAGCCCTCGCCTTCTAAGTACTTGATAGGCTGGTGGTAAATCAGCACTCCTGTTGACTGATGTGGAGCCTGTTTCCCAGGTTTCAATCACTTCCCTGGCTGTTTTTGTGCCTGCTCGTCCAACAAACTTAATAGCTGAAGAATTGTTCAAAGCAGTGTGAGGTTACCAATGAGTTTGGGTCTTCTTGTCTGACTGCTTGCACTGCTGAATGCACTGCTTGCATTCTTGCAATCTGATGATTAGCTTCCTCCCCATCTGTCCTACAAAGTCACTAACTTTAACAACTGCAATGATTTACTTAATAACTGCGGCAAAAAGGTCATAAAATGGGGCAAAACTCACTTAACTAATATTTCACTTAGCAACATAAATTTTGGGCTCAATTGTGATTTTAAGTTGTGGACTACCTGTATATTTCTTAATCATTCAACCCCATGACCTTGGATTTTTCTGTTTTCCACAGAAATAGCCTTGATGGCAACACTATCTTCTTCAGTCATTTCATGGTTAAAAATAAAGTTTGACTTTTAGCTGAAGCCTGTTATGAAATGCACTTTACTGGATATAAGGCAATTCGTGGAATCAGATAACATCAGATGGCCTCCTGAGGCATACCTGTCATTGCATCATTGTGGGAATATAAGAGCAAGGTCAAGAAATGACTTGCAAATATGTTAATTTTAACTATCATTTTAATATATTATGTTGCAATTTTAGTGGGTTTTTGAAACCCATTAAAAAGCAGTATTTAGCATTAAATACCAATGCTTCAAATTTTGTTTTACAGATAAGTCCTTGACTTACAGCCATATTCGTTAAGTAATTCAATTGCTAAGTAAGGAATCACTTGACCCATTTTTATAACCTTTTTTGCTATAGTTGTTAAGCAAGACATGTTACTGCAACTTGTGATCTCCTCTGCCAGCTTCCTCATTGACTTTGCCTTGTTTAAAGGGGAAGGTTGGGAAGGTGTAACTTGTCGAAAGTTTGCCAAGTGCCTAGTTGCAATCACATGCCTGCCGGGATGCTGCAACACTTAGTATGAGGATCAATTATAAGTCATTTTTTTCAGGGACATCATGACTTCAAATGGTCACTAAATGAATGGTTTTAAGTTGAGGACTACCTGTATTATAAAATGAACCAATGAATTTATTAAACTATTCCATATTTATGAATTTAGATTGGAATACTCTCCCTCCCTCCCTCCCTCCAACAAAACTGGTCTAGATATTCTGCTACTCAACCTGAATACTTTTTTCCTTAAATGAAAGGAACAATGTAAATTGTAACCAAAAAAAGACATATAAATTCATTTACAATCAAAAACCTTATTTAACTGTGGATATCCTAATAAAGATGTCCTACAATATATTTCAGACACTACTCTGTTAATGAAAATAGGAATCCTTAATCCTCCACCTTTTCTTTGAGCTGGAGGTCTGTATACAAGAGCAGATTCCCTGATCTGAACTGGAATCTGCCAATTCAGCAAAAGATGGTGAAAACTCCTAGCATTTCAATGGTCAAAGACTGAACTTTTTTCTGTTTTCCACAGAATTGCAATTTTTAAAAAGTTATTAACAATATAGATTCCCGTAGTAGAATGGGAATTCTAATTTTTAGCAGAAAGCACAGCATTTCTATAGATTTTATACAGAAACAAACTATTAATAGGGTCAGGTCTATTTTATAAGGATTGAGTCAGAGGGCTGAAGGTCATTTGTCTTTGAAGCAAGAAAATACAAAGGTCTAATCCAAAGTAAACAAGTAGAATCAGCATTATTACTTAGGGAACAAAATACAAGCTTAGATCTTAGCCTTTTTGCAGCCTATATTCAAGCTAAAGCACTTTCTGTACAAGCTAAAAAAAGCTTTTCATAAACATATTGTTGTGGCCCAACAGCAGCCAGCGGAGCTGGCAGCAGATTCGGACAGTGAGGAGGTTGGGGAAGAACACGGGCCAGTCTTGGAGTCTGGGGAAGGCTCTGATGAGTGCTCTGCATTGGAGGCTGAGATGGGGCCAGGGCCGTCTGACAGTTATTGGCTGCCTTCGGAATCAGAGATCAGTGGGGAGGAAGAACAGCTGGAGCCTGTTCCCGATGTGTGCAGGCACAGAGTTGCCAGAAGGAGGGAACAGCTGAGGAACAAGGCCCAACTTGGGAGTAAAGTCACAGGTGGATGGTGAATTGCCCCTTCCCTAGAGTATAAAAGAGGAGCGAAAGGGGAGTAGGACTTTGCAGGAAACAATTAGTTCATTCCGGCATGCTTGCTAAGTATTACAGGGTCTGAAAGATATAGGCCTGGCCTCTCTCCAAGCCTAATAAAGGTTTGTAATTGGGAACTATCATGAAAGACTATTGGCTGGGACTTTGTTGGAGAGGAAATTCATTGTAAATCAAATAAAAGGGGTTTATCGGGATGGACTCGGCTTCGTGTTGTTGGGGGGAGCCTAGGTCAGAACACATAAATACATTCTTCATCCAAATATCTTCTTAACCTATACACTCAACCCTAACAAAACTTTAAAGGTGTCACTGAAGGACAGAATTTCTACAACTGAAATTTCCAATCTGAATATTAAAGGCTAAGGAAAACGTTGAACAAACCAACATGCACACCCCAGGAACATTTCCATTTTACCTGGGGTCCCAGCTAATGCTGCTTTTGCACCTGTTAGAGTCAATAGCCCCCCTTCCTTCAGGTATTTAGTAGCCAAGTGACTAGAGATGGTTGATGTCCAAACACTTTGCTTCCACATCAGGTCACTGTTTTTGTATAAAGCTAAGGGATGGACAGAAAAATATGGAAAACATTAGAAATCATGAAACATATTCACCTTCTGGAGAGAGTATCACCAACTGTTCTCTTTTAGCCAGATAAGGTCTTGTACTGCAGAAGACACCTATGAACAGTTCCCTAACTTAGCTGCCGGGTGGGAAATAGGAATTTAACTCTAACCTGTATACCTGTGGGTTTAACAATGGGATGGGCATACATTAAAAAAACAATTCAGACACCTTTAGCATTCAAAGCAAGTCTGCACTAAGCAAATTTTATGTGACAGACTGAGCTAGCCAATGGCAGATAGATGGATGATTGAATGATTCTGTGAGCAACTCAATCTGCCTGCCTGCTTTGCCTGATTTTGGGTAAAGGTTGCTCTTTTTTTTAATAAAAAATTCAATATTTACATACATGGTGTGTTGTGAGTTAATTTTGTGAGTTTGCTTGCAAGCAAATTTTATGTGACAGACTCAGCTAGCCGATGGCAGAAACACAGATCTCTGAATGAATCTGTGATTCTGTGAGCAACTCAATCTGCCTGCCTGCTTTGCCTGATTTTGGGTAGAAGTTGCTCTTTTTTATGAAAAATTCAATATTTATATAAATATTTATAATATTTACATACAAGCCATGCCCAGCCAGTCACATGACCAAGCCACACCCACAAATTAGGCCATGCCCACAGAACCAGTTAGTGGTCCTTGGGATTTAAAATTATGAATTTGGTGGTCCCTGAGGTCCAAAAGGTTGGCGACCCCTGTTCTAAATGACTGTAGAAAGTAATAAAGGTGGGATAAAAATCAAATAAGTAAAATAAAAATCCCAAATGCTTTCTAGTTGTTTTCTTTGCAATCATGGACAGCTTCAGGGCAAACTGTGCAACACAGCCCTACTGAAATGCACTTAGAAAACTGTTAAGAGGTCTTCTATTTTTTTCCCCAGCTGGCTTTTTTCTCAATGCCAGCCAGTCCAGGACACCACTGGAAGACAGGAAGCAGATGTTGTCCCACAGTTTCTATTGCATCAACTGAATTTCAGGCCTGGAGACATCAGGAAGACATTAAACGGGGGAGCTACAGCATTCTTTGCTGAGCAGCTCCATCACAGACCAGAAATAGGCCAGTCTGAAAGACCACGGGAAAGAGAAAGAAGAGAGCATTGTGTGAACTGCAATCCTTACATTTCGCCTTGGCACTGCCTCCAGCCCATCCACCAGCTACACATAGGATAGCATCTACTTTCTTTTCACCCAGGACTTTTCCAACGTCTTCTGTCACCTTTCAAAAGGCAGAGTTGGGACAGCAGAATTATAGAACAAGCACCAGCAACTTTGATTTATAAACATTTCAACCAGTCCTTACCAAAGTAGTACACTGACTAAGACAAGATAGATAAATATTTCTGCATATGGAATCATTAGAAGCCTGGCGTTGTTGGTTTTAGCAAATCTTAACCTGTAATCTGAAGTCATCTGACTTTGGCACAGACTTTATTAAACAAAAAAGTAGCCAGGCTGCTGTTTTTGTTTCTTCTCTTACTCAAGTAGAAAGGAATAGAAAGAGCTCTACTTGCCTGGGAGAACTTTCCAAACTCCTTCCTTACCTGCAAGAGAGCAATCTTCATGCTTTTTTTCACCATTTTGCTATTATTAACTACATTGGGAATTAGTAAAATTACAGATATTAAAATATCAGCAGGATTCTAAGGGAGGGAAGCATGGTTTCTTTTTCTAGGGAGAGGTGGGGCGAAGAGGACACAGGTGTTACTTTGGTATGAAGAGGATGCCTCAAAAACTTGTTTTGGATGAGCAAGACTGAGCGAGACCTACAAAACAGGTTTTGGAAAGCTACTGGGAAAAATAAGGCTGTTTCAGGAGTAAAATATGACCGAAAGCTGCAGAGCAGATGCTAATGTTGTAACTAATAACATTGGGAATTTTGCAAAACTTTTCATGGTCTTTTATTCCTGAATTTTCATGTCATTAACATGCATGAACCATACTCTCCTACCTCTAAACAGGAGCAAGAATGCAAAGCATAATGCTTAATATAAGTATGTGCTTTGTAACGCTGATCTGACCCTCTTCTTCCATTCTCAGCTGTGGATCTCTCACAAGCACTGGCCGAGCATGCACCAAAATATCACTCACAAGAGGAATTTCAAAAAAAAACAGGACAGTGACTTTGATAGCATCACCAGAAATCCATCACATTTTAATAGGCACTGAAAACGCAGGTAGTCCTCTACTTAGGACAACAATTGAATCCAATTGCTCCATTTTACAATCTTTCTTGCCACAGTTAAGTTAGTAACACAATTGGTAAGTGAATCTGGCTTCCTCTTTGACTTTGCTTGTTCAGAAAGTCACAAAAGGGATCACGTGACCCCGGGATACTGCAACTGTCATAAATATGATCTAGTTGCCAAGCACCTAAATGTTGATCACATGATCATGGGAACGCTGCAGTGGTCCTAAGTATAAGAAGCGTCCCCAGTTTTTCAGTGCCATTGCAACTGAACGGTGACTAAACAAATGGCTGGAAGCAGAGGATTACCTGTATATTACATCTAAGGGAGGGCTATGTGGCATAAGTTGGACTCTGGCATGTGTTTTCCCTTTTCTCCAATATACCAATCAATGCAAAATCCGCAGGTTACAAAAGGTCTAACTCCTGTAATGGAGTAAACAGTTGTGAAATGTTTCTTCAGGGTTTTCCAACCCTGGCACTGTTGTTTTAGCATTCACGTTACAGGCAAAACTTCAATCAGAACAGTGCCCATCAATCAGCGCCTCCTAATTCTTGTGGATATTGTGGGAGAAGAGCTATGTTAGTTTATGGTAGTCAAAAATGAGGCGCAGTCTAGTAGCATCTTTTCAGAATAATGATTTTTCATGTCGATGCCTTCGTATTTTGTTCCTCTGAAAAGATGCCACGAGACTCCATCTGACTTTGGAAAGATTTAGAACAGGGTTTCCCAACCTTGGCCATTTTTAAGATACACGGATTTCAATTCCCCAAATTCCCTAGCCAGAATGGGATTTAGGACAATTAGGAGCAGTGATTGATTACCTGCCATCAAGTTTGTGTCTTAACAGCTGCAAAGATTTTTGTTCCTAATCTGGCAGAGATGGAACACAGCCGCTGACCGGTTCCAATTTTTTCAAGCTTTGGGTAGAAACCTGAAGTCAAAATTTCCGAAGTTTCCCCTGCGCTCTTTTCCAATCGCAAAAGGCCTAAAAAAAAAAACTTGAGCTCGTTTTCTTTTTACCTGCTCTGCTTGTTCCACAAACGAATCGCCCATTTGCACCACGACGTTGGCGCTTGCCTCTTGGTTTTCTGCTAAATCAATGCTGAGCACCCACTGCGGGGGGGAAAAACACACACACACCAAGATTTTGTTTTGAAGTTTTAAAACGGGGCTGCATTTACCCCAAAGCTACACGGCAGAGAGCAAGCAAAGCGCTTCGTTGCAAACGCCTCTCTACAGGTCGCTCTTTTGCTAAGGGCAGCGCGGCTTCTCTCCCAAGCCAGAAGTGTGCAAAAACCTTTGCGTGTGCGTTTGCACAGCGGCCTCCCCCCCCCCCGCCCCCCCCCCCCCCCCCCCGTATGCGAAGGTGCAGAAAAGCCGCCTTCTCCTCCACCGAGGCCGGAGCTTTACAGACCGGCTTTTGCCAACCTTTCTGCACCCCACCCAGTTTACCCAGTTCTTCGACCGCAGGTGCCGCACGCAGGCGGAGCCCAGAGCCCCTCTACCGCCGTATACCAACGCCCTGGAAGCCTCCCCCGCTGCCATGACTGCTGCTCCGACGACAAGCAGCAGCGCTCCTGGTGAAAGGGAAGCGGAAGGCGGGCGCCCAAGCTCTCCGCCCACGCTGAGTGGGTTAAGTGGAGGAAAAGGAAGCACGGCCCCTACTAGGGGATCCTGGTTACTCTCTTCCATACAGGGGTGGGGTGGGGGACTGTCCAGAGCTGTGCTTGGTCAATCTCGGCCATTTTAAGCAGCGGGGACTTCATCTCCCAGAATCCCCCAGCCAGCACGCTGCTCCAGGGAATCTGGCAGGAAGCTGTGCACAAATCCTCCAAAGGTGTGTGGGTAACCCTGGCAAGAGCTTGCATCTGAGAGTAGGACAAGAAGCAACCATTAAAGAGAGATCCAGTCTAGAACTCATGAGAAATTTCATGACAATGAGAACAGTATTTTATTTTATTTTATTGTTTGGTTTGGTTTGGTTTGGTTTGTCAATTGCTTACAAGATAATAGGTATAAGGGAAAACATAGTTATGAATACATGGATACATATAAGAAAAATAAAAAAAAGAAAACAAAAAATAGGACAGGGACGGTAGGCACATTGGTGCGCTTATGCTCGCCCCCTACAAACCTCTTAGGAAAGGGGTGAGGTCAATAGTATAGACAGTCTAAGGTTAAAGTTTTTGGGGTTTGGGGAAGAAACCACAGAGTCAGGTAGAGTATTCCAGACATTGACCACTCTGTTGCTGAAGTCGTATTTCCTGCAATCAAGTTTGGTGCGGTTAACTTTGAGTTTGTATCTATTGTTTGCTCTTGTATTGTTATGGTTGAAGCTGAAGTATTCATTGACATTATTCATACTCATTTATTATGTATATACTTATACCAGTTTATACTTATATGTTTATATGTTATGTTCATACTTATACTTGTTTTCTCATACATCCTTGACAAACTAAACTAAATAAATGAAAATAAAAAATAAAATAAATAAATAAATGGAATAGCTTGCATTCCCGAGTTGTGGGTGCTCCAGTGCTGGAGGTTTTAAAGAAAATACAGAATAACAAAGTTGGAAGGAATCTTAAAGGTCTTCTAGTCCAATTCCCTGCTCAAGCAGGAGTACTACTCTGTACCATTTTGGACAAATGACTGTCCAGTCCGTGTGTCAGCAACCCGTGGCTCCAGGATGGAATGCTTTGCTAGACACAACACAAATGTTTCTCGTGAGAACCAAGGTCATCTCCACAGATAATGGATAGAGCCGGGGAGGTGTGTCTGGAGAGCCTACCAGTTAGCCTAATTGGCCAACGTGACCTGAGACTGTTGGGGAGGGAGTTATTTCTTATTTTAATTATACTGAAATCGTAGGAAACATTTAGAGTTGGTTTTGCATTTGATTGTGCATATGATGTATCCAATGAAGAAATTATTTGAGGAAGTCTCTAGTCTCAGAATTCTGATTTTCTTGGGTTTGTTAGTCAGAACATTGATAATCTAGGTGGATAATAAAATGTCTGCAAGCAAACAACCAAGCTCAGAGGGCACTAAAGACCCCACAAACCTGATGCCTCAAATAGCAAATTGTCTTGGGCAGCCCCTGATTAGAAGCCCTATATTTGCAAATAAAGAAATTAATGCTGCTTCCTGTTGTTTTTTTGCCAGATTGTTTTCTTCCTTTTGTGCACAAATGATTATTGAAGCTCCCATCAGCCACCAATAAATAAATAAAATAAAATAAAATCAATGGTCATTAAACAAACATTTGCAACTGGCATAACTGAGACCTCATGCCTCGTGAGGTCATTTTACATTTCATCCTTGCAAGAAAAGCATGTGTTTCTCCAGGCTGCAATCAATTTGTATCTTTTTTTTTTTTCATAGCCTGAAAATGTGCTAGTGGTGTGCCTATTCATCTGGAAATATTATTCAGTATTGGAAAGCAGAGTATCATCTGAGCAAGATGGCCAGGATGACATTTAAGAAACAGAAATTCTAGGCAACAGCGATTTGGTGTCCCAAAATCTAATAAATTGATCTTTCTATGTCCAGAAGAGACTTCGAAGCAGACTGTGAAGCTAAATACATTCCAAGTCAGACCTGGCTATCACTTCAATATTTAAAATCAGGGAGAAATTTGAACCTTTCAATGAAACATTAGTCACGTAATAGATCCTAGATTGTCTTCTTAGCAACAAGCATCCTCTTTCTGCAGAATTACAAGGCTCTGTTGGCTGTTTCTGGATTATTGCAGATAAAAACAATCTTTTGGAGGTTCTTTAAAGAAAAAAGAAAAAGACTAGTACTCATGGATCAGAAAGAGACCTTGTAGGTAGGCCTCACCATATGATTCCCACAACTGTTAGAAATGTCCAGCTGCTTTCAAAAAGCTTTATTTGCTCTTGGTGCTGTGCTGAGCTTTGCCTCTTTCATCCTGATCCTCGTGGCCATGGGCAGCCAGGAATGGATGACGGGAAAAATCCTTTGCAAAACTGGTGCTGAGCTGGTCAACGCCACAGACCCTGAATTAATCAAATTCATGGGGAAAATTTACTATGGGCTCTTTGGGGGCCACAAAATGCGGCAGTGTGGACTTGGGGGTCGCCCTTCCAGATTCAAAAGTAAGTACCTCTTTTGTTTCCATTTTTCCTGCATTTGCAAATAAACATATTTTAAGTGAGGTTCTTTGATAATTAGTGATTATTCAGGTCATTATTTGCCTTTAAATTTTGGATACAGAAGTTCTGCTTGGACTAGGAGCTCTCCACAGTCCCTTCCAACTTTGTTATTCTATATTCTCTTCTTCTGAAGTTTGGATTGAAAAAAGAATTTTATTTTTCAACATAATTTGGCCAAAGTGGCAGCCCTTGGAGCTAATCAGGTGGGAAATGATGCATCTTATTACAGAGAAGAGGGCTAATTCACTTGCTCTGTTGACTAAGCAAAGGGACCACTAGAGGGCAACCAAAGACACAGAAAACATGTCTTTGCTGGTCTAGTGTTGGTCTATATCAGGGGTGTCCAACCTTGGCAACTTTAAGACTTGTGGACTTCAACTCCCAGAGTTCCTCAGCCAGCTTTGCTGGCTGAGGAACTCTGGGAGTTGAAGTCCACAAGTCTTAAAATTGCCAAGGTTGGACACCCCTGGTCTATATCTTTGCCGACCAGATCTTAACTCTACTTAAATTATTATTCCCACCCAAAGAATAGAACACAGGTAGTCCTTGACTTATGATGATAATTGGGACAGGAATTTCCATTGCTTGGAAAGGCAAAGCAGTTGCTAGGTGAGTCATGCCTAATTTTAAGATCTTTTTTGCCATGGTTATTAAGTGAATAATTGCAGTTGTTAAGTAAAACGTGGTCATCAAGCAAATTCAGCTTCCCCCATTGACTTTGCTTGTTGGAAACCAGCTGGGAAAGTGCAAAGGGCGATTACTTGACCTCAGGGAGTTGCAACCATTTGCAGATAGGGAGAAAGAGAGAGATGAGAGAGCGAAAGAGAGATAAGCGAGAGGGAGATAGGCAGAGAGGTGAGAGGGAGGAAGACAGAGGGAGATACTTGTTTCCCATAGAAAAGAAAACACGGGGAGTCACAAAACCTGGGTAGGCATGGCTGGATGGGAGTGAGTGACTTTGAGTTGGCCACGCCCACCCAGGTTTTGTGGCTCCCAGTGTTTTGTTTTCTGTGGGAAATGGGCCCAAGTGGCTCTTCGAGTGTTTAAGGTTGCAGATACCTGGACTAGATGAATTAGAGCAGGGGTCCCCAACCGCCGGTCCGCGGACCGGTACCGGTCCGCGGAACAAGTCTTACCGGGCCGCTGGTTGCTGGGCGCCGCCATCTTTTTTTGGTAAAAAAGTGCTTCCGGTGAGCTTTTCCGGGTAGAAAGCTCACCGGAAGCACTTTTTCATCAAAAAAAGATGGCGGCGCCAGCGCTTCCGGTGAGCTTTTCCGGGTAGAAAGCCATTTCTACCCGAAAAAGCTCACCGGAAGCGCTAGCACCGCCCTCTTTTTTGACGAAAAAGTGCTTCCGGTGAGGTCACTGGAAGCACTTTTTCGTCAAAAAAAGATGGCGGCGCCCAGCTGATGCCGGTACCGGGCCGCGGCGCCCAGCTGATGCCGGTACCGGGCCGTGGCGTCAAAAAGATTGGGGATCACTGAATTAGAGTACTAAGAGTTATGTGGATATAAGAAGGACACAGGATCTTCTATTTTGTAGAACTTCCCTCGCATGTCTCTTGTGGATGTGCTTGCAATTTCTTGCTCAGAACTTTACTTTGATCAAAGAATGAAATCTGATTTTGTTCCCCGCCCCCCAAAAAAGGAAGTTGCAATCATTTTAAATACATGCCCATTACCAAACACCCGAAGTTTGATCACATGATCATGGGGATGCTGCAATGGTTGTAAGTGTCAGGACCAGTCATAAATTATTTTTTTCAGTTCTGTTGTAATTTTGAAAAGTTGCTAAATGAATGGTTGCAAGTGGAGGACTATCCATAATGCAACTAGATTTGTTAGAGGCAAAGACATTCCTCTCTGTTATGACTAAGGCCAAACTGTCACCAGATCTTTTGCATAATTTAGATTTAGAGTTGGATTGTCTGCTGCAGCTGCCACAAAAGCTGCTGCAGTCCTAGGTTGCATCATCGTAGGGATAATTTCAAAATAATGTACAGTGTTAGTACTGCTTTAAACTGTACTAGTGAGACCACATTTGGAGTACCGTGTCATCACGATACAAAAAGTTTTGGTCGTCATGATAACAAAAGATGAGGAGACTCTAAAAAGAGTGCAGAAAAGAGCAACCAAGATGATTAGGGGGCTGTAGGATGAATCCTATGATGAATGGTTGCAGGAGCTGGTTATGTCTAGTCTAATGAAGAAAAGGACTAGGGGTGACATGATAGCAGTCTTCCAATTTTTGAGATACTCTCGCGAAGAGGTGGACAACCTGTTCTCCAAAGCATCTGAGGGCAAGACAAGAAGGATAGAAGCTTATCAAAGAGAGATCAATCTGGAACTAAGGAGAAATTTACTGAGAGTGAGAACAATTAATCAATGGAATGACTTGCCTTCAGACTTGCCTTCATCACTGGAGGTTTTCAATAAGGGACTGGAGAAATATTTGTCCAGCATGGTATAGGACCTCCTGCTTGAGCAAAGGGTTAGAGTACAAAACCTCTAAGGTCCCTTCCAATACTATTATTTTATGTTCTATGTTCCCTGATACCAACTGTATATGGGTGTGCACATGATTTCAGGCAAAAGTAATAAAAAACTGCATTGAATCCAAACAGAAAGTCTGACAATCTCTGCCCCATTTTCTCTGATTTTGTTTATTTGTGGGATCTGTTTACCTCCCCAATCTTTCTGGAGTCTGCTTTTTCCTCGTCAGTGTTTCCATACCTGGTGAAAAAGGTGAACACGATGCTCCATGTGACAATTATCCTCTCCTTGTCGGTGGCATTTTCCTTTGCTCTGGTCAGCTGCGGATTCTGCTTCTTGAACCTCCTAAAAGTCCCTTTTCGGGCCATTGAAGGACCTGCAGGAGTAGCTTTGTGGAACTTGGTGGCAGGTATAATGAACTTTTCTTTCTTCACAGCAACAATACTGAAATTGTAGGAAAGTGTAATGTGAGAGTCTGAGGTCTCCTTCCACAGTCCACAAATATTGGCCATCAGGGCTGTCCACAAGGTATGGTCAGAAAAAGGCAGCCACAACACTGTAATTGGAGCCTCACGTGTTTATATGTACATCAATCACACCACTGTGCTGCCATCTTGACTTTTCTGATCACACCCTGCAAATACTTCTCCTAACCTCATTATTTGAGGCTGAATTTCAGCCACCCACTTTTCTCCAATCTCACCCTTTTCTAGCTTGCATATCTGGACATTAGAAAGATTGCAATTTTAAAAAAATTTTGTTGTTGTAATTTTCCAAATCTGGCCTAATAAAAATATCGCTGGAGTTTGATTTGAGGACTTTAATAATGAATACTTTTGGTGAACAACTGCAGGTCCACTAGAAGCTTCTCTCACTGGCAACTATAAAATTGAAGCACTTGCAACTGGCATGTATTTTCAGTGGTTGCAGTGTCCCAGGATCACATGATTGCCATCATAGGGGACTTCTGACAAGTAAGGTCAATAAGGGCAGCTGGATTTGCTTAATAACCATAGTGACTTCCTTAACAACCATGGCAAAAATATTATAAAATCAGGTGTGACATATTTAATGACTGCATGGCTTAGCAATGAAAGTTTTGATCCCAATTGTACATACTGTGTTTCCCCGAAAATAAGACCCACCCCCAAAATAACCCTAGCATGATTTTTCATGCTGCTTGCAACGTAAGCTCTATCCCAAAAATAAGCCCTAGTTCAGAGCCTCATCAGTGGTGGATGAGCGTAGCCAGCATAGAAGGCGGAGAGCATGCATGTGGAATCCGATGGTATCTGGAACCAGCTGTAGCCTGCACAGCCCAAGCCCTCCAAGCAGCAGGCACAGGCAGAGGCATGGGGGGCGGGCACGTGATCCATCCCACCATCTGACTTTGCTTCCAGATTGTGCAGCAGAGCTGGAGGATGAGGTTGGAAGGTGGGGGCCGAGAGCACATGGGAGAGGCCGCAGCATGGTGCCATTCTCATCCCACCACTTCCCTAGGCTCACAGCTGTCAGCATTCCAACCAACTCTCCATCCCAAATTCAGCACTCGGAGACAAAGTCCATCCAAGTAAGAGTTTATTAGAGAAGTCATATTGGCACATCTGGGGAAACCCCAAATCTGCATTCCCGCATTTTCCCCTGCTACACTAAAACTCACACCCAACCCCTTACTGATGACCCTTAAGTCACACTCTCCAATCCACCTCCATTCTGAACTCCCACCAAATCCAGTCATTCCCTTCCAAACTCTAGCCACTCGACCTTGAGCTCTGGAAAAGGATGTTGTTGTGGCTATCCTCCCTTCTCACTTCTCTCTCATTGCCATACTTACCCTCCTCCCTTGTGGCAACCCCAAATCTGAATCAAGATGTATCCAGGGCTGACAACAGCAGTGGCACCAGCAGAAGTGCAGGTGGAGGCACATGATCTGGCCCGCCGGATACGCTGTGCAACCGCCTGTCCACTCTCTCCATCTTTGCTTGCCCGCGGCTGCAATGCGGCAGGTGGCCATAGTGTGTCTGGTAGGCCATATCACATGACTCCCCCACTGCCCTGTGCCTTTGCCTCCACCTGTTGCTGTGCAAAATGAGACAAGGCAGATGGTGAGGCAGGGGTGGCACCATGCCACAGCCCTTTCACGCTCAGCTCCCGCCATTCAATCTGGTCCTCCAGCTCCACTGCACACTCTGCAAAGACAGACAATGGGTTGGAGGCTGGGAATGATGGGGCTTTTCATCCCTCACCTCAGAAGCAAGGGGAAGGAGAAGGATGGAAAGGGATAAGGTCGCTCGAGGTCTGTTTCTTGCAGATTGGTCCCGACCCTCCCATCCCCTTTGAACCTGGCCTCCCTTCTCTGAGGGAGATGACAGGCTAGGTTAGGCTGAAGCAGAAAAGAAAGGGACAAGCCACGCAGGTAAGGATGAGTAACTCGCCCACCTCTCCACACCACCTCTCAGGAGACATGGTGTGAAAATGTAAACGCTGCCCCTTCCAAGTCAGCAGCAGCACCTGAATCAAAACAAAGCACCACAAGTCTGGGCACCCTTCCTATTTGTTCCCTCCCCTTTTGGGAAGTGTTTCAATATGGTAGCAGGTTAGCCGGGTGTTATTCAGAACACATCCCAGGCAATACAATAGCAGCTACATCTCTTCCCTTCCAAAACATGCCAGGATGTGATCTGAAAAAGATCTGGCTTGACCTACTACCAGTATTGAAACACTTCCTGGCTGTTCCCCAAAATGTGCTTGCAGCAGCAACTGGATAGAGTGGGCAGCGCTGTGCCTCTGCCTGCTGCCAGAGCTTCTCACAGCGGTCCCACTTGTGGCGAGCAGGGAGCGCATCGAAAATGAAAAGCAGGATTTACCTGCTGCATCTTGCACGCTGAAGGCAGCAAAATGTAGAGAAGAGACACTGTCCCTTTGGTAAAGAGCTGGGAGGCATTTCAATAGCAGGTCAAGCTGGGTCTTATTCAGATCACATCCCAATGTATTTTGGAAGGGAGAAGGCACAGCTGTTATTGCCCGTTCTGGGGTTTGCATAGCAATGGTGAGAGACTGCAGGATTTATTTTTATCTCCCTTCCAAAACATGCCAGGATGTCTTCCATGGTACTAATCTACATCATATATCTAATTCTTCTAACATTCCCCATCTTAACATTTTAAATTCTTACTATGTGTTTACTATTTTGTACTGTCTTCTTTAGTTTTTAACTTCCATATTTATTTTTCAACCATTGATAAAATGAATCCCATATTATATAATATTCCGCTTGTTCCTTCTCTTGGATTGCTAATGTTAACCTATTCATTTCTGCACAGTCTAGTATTTTTCTAATCACATTGTCTTCATTCGGAATCTCTTCACTTTTCCAATTTTGTGCAGATACAATTCTAGCTGCAGTTAGTATATGAATAATTAAATATACATTCTCTTTACTATAATTTTCAGGTATAATCCCCAACAGAAATATTTCAGGTTTTAAATCAATATGTTGCTGTATCATCTTTTTCAAGCATGTCCAATATCTTCTAGCTTCTACGCATATTCACCACATATATGTTCCTGGTATCTGGTAACATTTCCAGCATTTAGCTGATTTATCTTTAAACATCTTTGCCAGTCTTGCCAGAATAAAATGCCATCAATAAAACATCTTATACAGGTTTTCTTTGTATGCAGTTGACATTGTTAGTTTATAGTTTCTATCCCACAATTTCTGCCATTTATCAAATTCTGTAGTGTAATAAAAAAAAAATTGCCCATGGTATCATTGTCTCCTTCACTTATTCTTCTTCCAATTTAACACCCAATAGATAACTGTACAATTTTTTATCAATCTTTCTTCTGTTCTTGTTAATATTTTATCCAGTTCTGTCGGTTCTTTATAGAAACCATCTAGTTTAACATCTTGTTCATATCTAGACTGAATTTGCATATATGAATACCAAACCATGTCAATCCCTTGTTCATTTAATTCTTGTTTAGTTTTGAACTCACCCTTTTCATTCAAAATATCTTTGTATCAAACAATATTTCCCATATTAATAATATTTGGATGAATAAGTGCTTCCATTGTCGAAAGCCAAACTGGAATCTTCAAACAGTGCTGGTCTTTAATTTTCTTCCATATTAACAGTATAAAGCATTTCTTATATAATGTGTTTGAAAGTAACTGTGTACCTGACTTTTCCCATACCATAGAAAGGCATACCAACCCAATTGCATATCATGCCCCTCCAGAGTCAATAATCTTATGTTCCTCAATACAATCCATTCTTTCATCCATGTTAATACTGCGACCTGGTAGTATAATTCCCAATTGGGTAATCCAAACCCTCCTCTGGTTCTTTTGTCCCATAGTATTTTTAAGTTTATTCTTGCTTTTTTTTCCCTTACCAGATATATTTTAACATGATTTTATTAAGATCTTCAGAATATTTTTTCTCCAATTTTATCGGAATTGTTTGAAATAGGTATAATATATATTCATTTTAATTGTTGCAATATATTCATTTTAATTGTTGCTATTCTCCATATTAACAATAATTGCAAGTTTTTCCATTTTTCCAGATTTACCTTAATTTGCTGTTTCAGTTTATAGTAATTATCTTCTTTAATTGTTGCACTTCTTGCTGTTAATTGAATCCCTAAATATTTTACTTTCTTAGTGATCTGGATATCTAATCTCTTCGTTATCTCTTTTTTCTGTTTCTCTGTGACATTTTTCACTAAGATCTTAGTTTTTTTCTCTGTTTGCAATCCTGCCACTTCACCATACTCTATTTTTTATTAGCTTAGGTCCTGTTTCTAGAGGGTCTTCTAGAATAAAAACTAAATCGTTTGCCAATGCCTGTAATTTATATTTTTTCTTTTTTTACCTCCATACCTTTTATCTCCTCATCTTGTCTAATATTTCTATTTAATACTTCTAGTGTCAATACAAATAATAATGGTGACAAGGGGCATCCTTGTCTTGTTCCCTTAATATTAACCTTTTCAGTCATATCCCCCTTTACCATCACCCTTGCAGTTTGTTTACAATATATTGCTTTGATCATCATAATAAATCTCTCTCCAAAGTTCATTGCTTTCAATTCTGCTAACATAAATTGTGAGTTCACATTATCAAATGCCTTCTGTGCATCTAGAAAAATCAACACCATTTGCTTCTCTGAGCGTGCTTCATAGTATTCCAAAGTGTTCAAAATTATTATCATATTGTCTTTTATTTTTCTCTTTGGTAAAAACCCATTTTGATCTGAACTAAATTGGTTTAAAAATCTCTTTAGTCATTCTGCTATTATTGAAGCAAATATTTTATAGTCCACATTCAATAGGAATATCAGCCTGTAATTTTTTATCTATTTCAGATCTGAGTCTTGTTTCGATATGAGAGTAATATATGCTTCCATCCAAAAATTTGGTACTTTCACCTCCATCAATAATTCATTAAATACTTCCAACACTGGGTCGCTTAACAAGTCCTGTAAAGTTTTATACAACTCTGTGTGGTAGATTAGAGGATTTAAATTCAGTGTATAGAATGTGAAGGATATGTGTTTGTATTTATTTTCATAGTCATAATGTACACTGAAGATGGTATTTAATTTCATTGTATGAGGTGCAATGACAATAAACTAAACTAAACTAAACCATCCAGCCCTGGGGTTTTGTCATTCTTTTGTCTTTTAATTGCTCCTGTTAGTTCCATCATTGCTATTAAAGCAACATTAGAAGAAAGAATAACAATGATAGAACTAACAGAAGCAGTGCTCCCACTCCTGTCAGCTCCTGCGTTCACCACCTCTACGTGAAAAAAAATAAGACATCCCCCCAAATAAGCCCTAACGCCTCTTTTGAAGGCAAAAATATAAGACTGGGTCTTATTTTCAGGAAAACACAGGTACATTGTATATTAAGGACAATCTATGGAAAATAGAAACAACTTACAGCTCAATATCTCAGCTAAGGTGAAACCGGTTGGTTTGTGCCTTTCCAGTGAGATAAAATCTGTGAGTTTCGTGTATTTTTGGAAGGAAATCTTTGTGCCACTGGAGATATTTGCAAGGCGCTTTTTGGGTATAAAAAGCAAAATGAGCCTCTGGCCCCTCTGACGCTTATGACTGTTGAACCCCCTCAGCTCAAAAGGGATAGTTTAATTTCTCCAAAACCCAAGAGTTATGGAATGAGGTGTCCTTCATTTTGCATCAGTATCTTGCTCTCTGTATCTTTGGCATCTCTTAAAAAGTTAGGTGCAATCCTTGGCTAGTCAACAACTCAAATAAGAACAACTCCAGGATCAGCTGGAAATGAGAGTAATCTGCTCTGTAGGGCATGTGCATAAATGACTTTTTTTAAAACATTTATTTCTAGGCGGATGTACCACACTGGCTGTGACCGCTTTTGTGGCAGATGTCAAACTGCATCGACTTACAGAAAGAATTGCCAATTTTCAGGAAAATGGCTTCCAATTTCTCATCCTGGAAGAAGAATATATGCCTTCTTTCTGGCTTTGTGTAGCAAGTGCAACAATCAACGGGCTGAATGTGGTCATCGTTGCCCTCAGCACAATTCGCTTCCCAACTCTGAGAACAAAGATAGAAGAAGCAAATGTTACAGCAGAAGATATCATGTACTAAGTCCTTTGTTTGCCATTTGCCTCTTCTGAACTTCCATGATCCTTTGATCATTTGCATACTTTAAAGCCACTGACATCAAGTAGCATTTCTGGATCTAAAAGGGGGGAAATTAGTATCACAAACAGGTTGATGTCATCAAATGCTGAAATCTGCTGTGTCCATACTCTGGAAGAGGATTGTGTCTCCCTCATAGTGTCCAAAACTTTAGGAGTCCTTCATCTTTTCCTGCTGGTTATAAGGTGTCATCCACAGATCTTCCAAAGGAGAAATTTACACTATCTTTGCCCCAACATTGTGCATTGGAAAATGGATACCTTTGTTTCATGAAAACTAATTCAGTATATCATTAGCCTTTGTTAAGTACCTCAGAAGCTAAAAAGGTCTGTATCACTGTATCTTTAAAGGTGAGGAACTAAGGAGAACTTTTCCTCCTGCCACATAATTATTTCTGAAGTGTATTAATTCATACTCAGATATGTTACTCTTGGCAAGATACCATAAACCTTTACTAAAGATTAAAGGAACTTTACCTTTTTTGAAGAATAACAAAAAATTAGACGAAAACTCATTTCCTATTATGGTTTTTGGCTGTCTCTTCGGGGGGGGGGGAGGGGGGGGCTAAGGTATTTGCTTTCCCAGCCAAGCATCACAAAAACTTTGCCCTAACATGCATACAATTCATAGATGAGATTACAAGAAGTGCACTAATGCTTTTCTGGAAAACTTGTCAGATGGAATTCCCTATCCTATTGTGCAAGGAAATTGAATCATGGAACTATTATGAGCTCTCAGGGAATTATGGGACTCCATGGGAATTTGTGGATTGAAGGTCCAAATCTTCAAAATGGAAATTGTGGTATTGTGACCCAAGTCTTGCTTGCCATCTATCAGATTTTGACCACCTCTCAAATGCTGCTGTTATTTCAATGATGTCACCCATAAGGCACTAAGCATTTAATCCTTCTCTTCAGAATCAAAGGAAAATGGTGCTGATGAACCGGTGGCACAAATCACTTTCTCTATGTCTCCTTTTATTTTTATTTATTATTGTATTCAATTTTATTTTATATCACTAGCTCATTCTTACTGAGCCTTGAAGATAATTACCCAGTCACAATATCCTTAGCATTTTGTAATTTAACTCAAACTTCTCAGATAAATGGAATGCCAAAAAGGAAAAACCATAACACAAAAACGTCCAGGTTTTCCATCTATGTCTATCAAAGCCACCTAAAACTGACAAATGCACCAGATGAGATATGCATAAATAAAACTAGTGACAAAACAAAATGATTGCTATTTCTCTCTTGAATGATTTAGAAAGAATAAGATAGGACTGTGTGTGTCCAAGGGAAGAGCCTCAGACTTGAGATTCTTCAAAATTCAATGGATGAGGCAGGGAAATACTTTAATAAAGGCACTGCCTTGAATAATTCTAAACTGGGAAATCAGATATTTGTAAGTAACATATTCAGATTATACAATTTGTCTGTACCTGCAAGTATCAGAATTGTGCAATCCATAGTTTTGCCTGTCATGCTCTTTGGAAGTGGTCTTGAGCAATAGGACAGGAAGAGCATTGATCTTTTTGAACTTCGTTTAGGAGAAGACACCTGAGAATACAATGGATAATCAAGAAAACAAATAAAAAAGATCATCAAACAAAACAACCCAAGACAAAAAGTGACCAGGCTCAAATGATTTTACTTAAAAGACCTTATGTGAAGACATAGTTTCTGGGAAAGGTGGAAGGAAAGAGAATACAACATCCAGCAGCAACTATGGATATATCATTGGAAGATCTGAAAGACCAGGTTGGAGAGTGTCCTGGAGAAGATCTATGTGGTCCCTAAGAGTTGACACCAATTTGATGGCACAATGTCAGATAACAATATAGTCACTTATGTATTCTGTTGTCCAAAATATGAGAATGACAAAGATGCTGTTATCATAGATTGTATTGGGAGACTGTAGTTTTAAGGAATTGAAGAGAATCAAGTCTGAGATTGGCAGGTATTCCAGTCCATGAAGAGCTGGCCTGCCCTCCTCAAATTATAACATCTCAAATCACAAAACAAAGCTGTTCTGTAATGAAAAAGGAAGAGAACATAATGTAACATTCTGTCTTGAGAAAGGTTGAGAGGTTGATTGAATCCCGTACCCAACGTTTTTGTAATTCCATCAATCCAGACAGACATTTGTAATTGTACTTTGGGCTGGCCTGGTTGTGCTTAGGGACAACCCATCAAAGGGAAGCTCCTCATCTTTCTCAAAACAACATGTGTGAGTTTCTCCAGCTGTATACTTCTCAAGTCTTCAAGGGGAAACTCTTGATATCTGCTAAAGATCATGCAGCCAATGAAATGTTGGCATCCCTACCAAATGAAATCTCTTTGTATATGAACATGAACAGGGATAGCTGGTCTTTTGAGACCTATTAATAGATTCAGCAATTTATATATAATTTATTATAAGTTTGTTGTTTGGAACTCACTGGAATAGATTGCTGGAAGGAACACCGGATGCTTTGCAGTTCTAAGCAAAATCACCAATTGGGAAGGAAGATCACTTCTAAATGCTACTATAGGAAGGCTCTTCTCCCCAGAATAAAGTATTCTTTATTCTTAATATTAAAAAGAGGCAGAATAGAATATTTCCCCTGAAGGAGAAGAGAAAAGACATCTTAAAGGCAGAAAGCAGCCCCTGCTATAGGAAAACAGCCTCAAGCAGAAACTTGAAGAAGCTAGTTTTTAGGAGTGGATATTTAATATCCATTCAGAAAGCTGAGCCAGTCTATTAATAAGCAAGGAGCAGCCAGAAATTCAAAATGAGCAACACAATAGGCAAGGGGCCAAAGCTGACATGATTAACTCAGACAAACAAAACACCTAAGATTTGCATTTCCCCTTTTGCTTGTAGAGCCAGTCATCACCCCTATATGAATGACCCCATAGGAATCTGGCAATGGCCATTAAAATATTAAATGACATATTCTTGTACAGGAACAAGCATCTCAAACACAAAGCCCCAAAAACATATAAAAGCACATCTACTCTCACACCTACTAACTTTGGAAGTGCTAAATAGAAATATTAGAGATGAAAAAATATAAAAGGGATGAAAATTAAAAAGGAAGAATTTAAGCTGCAAGCATTTGCAGATGATCTGGTTTTTATTTTAGAAGACCCACTAGAAACAGCATCAAAATTGATAGAAAAGATAGAGACATATGGAAAGGTGGCTGGTTTGAAAATAAATAAAGATAAGACAAAGATCTTGACAAAGAATATGCTATCAAGACAAAAGGAAGAACTGGCAGACCTATTGAAAATTCAGGTCACGAATAAGATCAAGTACTTGGGGATATACTTGACAGCAAGATGCAGTACACTAAAAGAAAATAATTATATCAAACTTAAACAGCAGATAGCGCTAGATTTGGCGAAACAGGAAAATTTACAACTGTCATTGATAGGGAGAATATCAACAATCAAGATGAATATATTACCCAGAATTTTATATTTGTTTCAAACAATTCCAATTAGGCTTGGAAAAGACTATTTTGAAGATTTCAATAAAATTGTGTTGAAATTTATATGGCAAGGTAAGAAAGCGAGAATAAAGTTAAAACTTTTGCAAGATGCTAGAATAAGAGGAGTATTTGGTTTGCCTAATTGGGAGTTGTATTACCAAGCTACAAATTTGATGTGGGTTAAGGAATGGATAACATTAAGAAATACTAGATTGTTGACCTTAGAAGGACATGATCTGTTGTTGGGGTGGCATGCTTTTCTATGGTATAAACTAGGAACTAAAACACAGGGGTACTTTAGAAGACATTATATATGGGAGTCTCTGTGGTTAAACTGGGAGAAGATTAAAAGACAATGTTATTTGAAAATTCCAGTCTGGCTATTGACTATTGAAGCGTTTTCTTATCCTATAATATACAAAAAGGAACAAACAATTAGATATGGTGAAATATTGAATGAAAAGGGTGAACTTAAATCTATACAAAAACTAGAGGAACAAGGTATAAAGATGAATTGGTTTTCATATGCGCAAATATATTCAAGGTATGATAAAGATTTTAAAACAGAAGGTTTCTATGATAAACTGACTGATTTAGATAAGATTTTGACAGGTACTGATAAAAAGGTGATTAAAAAATTGTATGGATATTTATTAGAAATTAAACTAGAAGAAGAACAAGTTAAAGAAACTATGATTGCTTGGGGGAAGAATTTTGGATATGGGATTGATCTAGAGAAATGGCAAAAATTGTGGTCTCAAAATTATAAAATGACAATGTCAACAGCATATAAACAAAATTTGTATAAGATGTTTTACAGGTGGCATTTTTCCCCAACAAGAAAAGCAAGAATGTTCAAGAATAAATCCAAAAAATGTTGGAAATGTCATGAGACACCTGGCTCATATTACCATATGTGGTGGACTTGTGCAGATGCTAAAAAATACTAGACTAAAATCCACATGTGGTTGGAAAAAATGACAAAAAACCATATAGACTTGAAACCAGAGATATTTTTATTGGGATAAACAATTTTATAAAATTTGGGATCTTTTCTATCAATGGTTAGACAATAAAGTATAGTAATGAAATATGTAGACTTTTAGAAAATACTAAATATATAAAGATGTATTCTTTTCTTATTATATCTACAAAATGATTTTAGGATAGATTTGGGATGATAATATGAATTGTCACAAAACAAATTAAGTAAAATATGATTATTTCCTAAAGCATGAATGAATAAAAGTATAGTCAAATGATTGATTAATAATGATACCAATGTATTTAATATTGGATTGAAAATACAAGATTATATACAATGTAATTGTAATTGAAGACTACGAAATAGAAGCACAAAACAATCTGTAAACCAACTGGCACACTGTATGTACATATATGGAAGGTGGCCTGATGTTTTTATGTTTTGTTTGTTTATGTTTGTTTTAAAAACCAATAAAAATTAAAAAAAATAAAACAAAAGAAGATAATTATGTAAAACTGGTAACAGAAATAAAAAAGGATTTAGAAAAATGGGGGGGGGGGGGTTACAATTATCAATGTTAGGGGGAATCGCTACTATTAAAATGAACATCTTACCAAGAATACTATTTTTATTCCAAACCATTCCAATTAAATTAGATAAAAATGTTTTTAATGAATTAAACAAAATTACTATGAAATTTATTTGGTCAGGGAAAAAAGTGAAAATAAAACTTAGCTCATTACAAGATAATAGATGTAGAGGTGGATTTGGACTACCTGCCTGGGAATTATATTATAAAGCAGTAATTTTAACATGGATTAAAGAATGGGCCAATTTAAGAAATAAAAGAATTTTAACCCTAGAACGACATGATCTAGAGGTGTGGTGGCATGCCTTCATGTGGAAACCTGGAAATAAGAGATATACACTTTTTAATAGCCATGTAATTCGAAGTTCATTATTAAAAGTGTGAAAAGAGATCAAACATAAACACTATATGAAGATTCCAGGATGGGTTTCCATCATGGAGGCACTGATCCACCCCAATGCGTTAGAAATTGGAAGAATGATTAGATATTATGATGTCCTAAATTCCCAAGGAGAATTAAAGATGAACCAAGAACTTAGAGAACAAGGGATGAAAATAGAATGGTGGCCATATTTACAACTCAAAATGAGATACAAAAAAGATATAGAAGAAATCGGAATTGAGACAAAACCGAACCAATTAGATAAAATACTAGAAGGGACAGATGAAAAGCTAATTTCTAAAATGTATAATTATCTACTAGAATTTGAAATGGCAGAAGAAATAGTTAAAGGCCCAATGATCGCATGGGCAAGGAATGTAGGGCACAACATTAATTTAGAAGATTGGGAAAAAGTCTGGAAACAAAATTACAAAGTAACAAAATCAGTTGTTTATAAAGAAAACCAATACAAAATGTGTTATCGGTGGTATCTGACACCTTCAAGGTTAGCGAATATGTACCCAAATTTAAATCCAATTTGTTGGAAATGCAAACAAATGAGAGGTACCTTTTTTCATGCTTGGTAGCTTTGCCCCAAAAGTAAAAAGTATTGGAAAAAAATTAGAATGTCGATGAAAGAAATTACAAACATACAATTGGAATTTAAGGCTGAAATATTTTTGTTGGAAATGTTAAAAGGGGACTATCCAAAAGAAATAAAATATTTAATTCTCCATATAATCACGGCTTCAAGAATTGCGTTGGCACAATGTTGGAAGGGTGATCAAATGCCAACAAATAATTTAATAATACAGAAAGTTCTCGACTGCGCTGAAATGGACCTACTCACACAAAAACTTAGGGATGAGGTAGACTCGAAGTATATTACAGTTTGGGAAAAATGGTATAATTGGATGAAGAAGAAAAAACAGGAAATTAAAAGATAAGGATTTGAAACATGAAGTAGTTAAACTAAGAACACATACCAAAAATAGAAAGCGAGTATTAGTAAAATTATTCAATAAAGGACTACACCGTCTTAGCTGATAAGATATATATGTTTTATGCCAATTATTTGTATTTATATATTGGTTTCATTTGTAACGAAATGTTGTATATGACATTGTGCATATTTTTCTTTTTAATATTTAATAAAGTTTAATTTTTGTTAAAGTCAGTCCCGTCCAAGTCAAAAGAGATCATGACTCTGCAGAAAGTTAGCACTCACGAACTAAAAGGCAGACTATTATATTTTCCTCAATGAAAATTGGAGACACATGCTCTTGGAAAGCAGCTCCCACCTTCCTTAATAGCTCACAGCAGATGTCAGTACTTAAGAGATAAGGAGATAGCCAGCTCCATTCATAAGTAAATACCCTCACCCAAGATTCAACAAATTTAGGATTAGCCCTCAGCCACAATAGGAATTGGCCAAGGCCCCTTCATTGCATCATCTCAGTTGCACCCTCTCCAGCAGTTCAACCAAACTTAGCTCACACAAACTCCTAGGATTTGTACTGGCTCCATGGGAGTCTGACAACAGCCAATAGAATACATGTTCTTGCACATGAACAGGAAGTTCAAGTGCAAAGCCAAAGAGAAGGTATAAATAATCCTCACTCTCGACTCCATGTGGTCAGCTCCACCAGAACTACAAACATGTGGCTCTGTTCATCAATAAATGGACCTTCTTTCCAATCAGCCTCCATGTTTCCAGTGTCTTTCTCCCAGCTTGGAACTGAACCAGATGGACATTACTTCCAACAACTCTTATCCTGTTCTGCATCAACTAAACCATATTTAGTCCAGGCCTGTGATAGGAGTCACATACTGGAGGGAGATGCACAAGAAGCCAGAAGAGGGAAGGTTATGGCAAACAAGCTGGACTCAAATCCCAAGAAGCAGATGGGCCTGTTTGTCCCAGAGAAATTGAGGGGAGATTTAATGCCAAACTTGTCATAACAGCAAGGCTATTTTGCTTGACAAGAGGAAGGACTGTAAATGCAAAGAAGAGACTCTAGCTGGACTTTTGTGTCTGCTTTTGACAGGTAATTTTAAAAACAAGGATCTGCAGTTTTCTTGCAGTTTGTTTTCTTTTTACAAAAAAAAAAAAAAGGTGGCCCTTGACTGCTGAGAAAGGGGGTATTGACTAACGTGGCTCTGCTGGCTTAGCACCTAAGATAGGACTAAAACTCAGGGTCTCCTGGTTGGTAGAGCACTTCCGAACCTGGCTGTGGGCTGGAGCTCAGGAGTTTTTTTTTTAATTTCTCTTTTTGAGTTTATTTATTTTATTTATTTGGTTTGTCAATTGCTTACAAGATAATAGGTACAAGTAAAAACATAGTTATGAATACATGGATACATATAAGAAAGAAAAAAAAGGAGTTGGTTTTGGAGAAGAAACCCAAATAGCTCCCCATTCACAGGCTGGACAGATTTTCCCTCCAGGGTCAGGGTATCCAGGTCTCTTTCCATCCCACGCGGACCAGAATCTTACATCCAACGGGGTGGACTTCCTGGTGGACTCGGGTGCAAGAGGCCGGGGGGGGGGGGTTGGCCGCCTGGGGACCCCCTAATTCACAGAGAGAAGCGGAAGTCGGGGATCTGAGATCTGCCCAGCCGCCTGGGATTATTACTTTGTTCATGCATTGATCATCAGGCGCAGGGCCCTCCAAGCAGAGCAGAGGAAGCGAGGCTGTTGAATGAAAGAGGCCCGCGGCTCTACCCACCATGGCTCACCCCTCCACCCCTCCTCCCATAGAGTGTCGCCTTCTGCCCGGCCCCTGCGCTCTCCCCCGCCCCGTTCCCATCGTCCCCCTGGCCGTGGGCGGCGACCATGCTTCTGCGGCTGCTGTTGGCGAGAGTCCGGTGCCGATTGGTCGCCCATCCTCCGCGCTCCCTTCTCCTCCTCTCCGCCTCTATGGCTACCGGCGCGCAAGCCACCGCCGCCGCCGCCGCCGCCCGGCAGGTAGGGTTCGAGCGCGCCGCCCGGGCTCTGGGAATCTGAGCGAGAGTCAGGCGTCAAGCCCTCGCGGTGCTTCGTGGAGCTTCCGGGCGGCAGATGCTCCGAGGCGCTGAGTCCCGCGCAGCCTGTCCCTGCCCTTCTCTGGCTCCTCTGACCCTCGCATCTCAGCTGGGGGCTCAGCCGCCCCAGCAGTTGGAGTGCTTGGCTAGCTGGCTGGCTGGGGAACTAACGAGAGAAGGTGGCCAGGGTGGTTCGCATTTGCCGGTGATACTGTCCCAAGATCAAGCCCTCTGGCTGGAGATCGCGACCCCCCTGCTGCACCAACTCCCCGGATCTGGGGTTTTTGTTTTTTGTAGGAAAAAAAGACGCCCCTAAGTGGAGCTTGGTTACCCACGATCATGACACGGGTTGGTGTCTTCCGAAGGGACGCAGAAACCCTTTCTGGATCCCTTCAGTTGCTTAGTAATTTCCTGCTTCCAAGAAAATTGAATGTTTTATTTGTCATGTTATATGTCTATTTATAATTCCGTGAAAAGCTGTCCCCCCCTGGAAGGAATGGCTTAAAGCCCCCGCGGTTACAACTTTCAATATCTCTCAACTATAACATGAACCGAGAATTCGCTGAAGTTATTTAAACCTGCCTTGCCTTGTTGATATAACATAGAAGAACAGAGTTGGAAGGGTCCTTGGAGGACATTTAGTCCAACCCACTGACAGAGCAGGAGACCCATATCATTTCATACAAGTGACTGTCCAGTGACGGTCTCTTCTGAAAAGCCTCCAGGGATGGGGCACCCACAACTTCTGAAGGCAAGGCGTTCCACTGGTTAATTGTTCTCACCTAGGAAATTTCTCTTTAGTTCTAGGTTGCTTCTCTACTTAATTAGTTTCCCTCCATTGTTTCTTGTCTTGCCTTCTGGCTTTGGGAAATAAATTGACCCCCTCCTCTTTGTGGCACCTTCTCAAATACTGGAATACTGCTATCATGTCTCCCCTAGTCCTTTTCACTATACCCAATTCCTGCAACCAATCTTCATATGTTTTAACCTCCAGCCCACTAATCATTCCTGTTGCTCTTCTCTGTACTCTTTCCCTGGTCACAACATGTTTTTTTTATATTGTGGTGGCCAAAATTGGCCAAAAATGCAGTATATTCTAAGTGTGGTCTTACTAAGGCTTTGTAAAGTGGTACTAATACTTCACATGATCTTGATTCTATCCCTATATTATTTTAGCCTAGGATTGCATTGGTTTTTTGGCTGCAGCCACACACTGATGGCTCATATTTAAGTGTCTACTAGAATTCCATGATCCCTCTCACAGTTACTGGCATTGAGCCACATTTTACTCAGTCTATACCTATACATTTTGTTTTTCTTGTCTCAGTGTAAAATCTTATCCATACTGTTTTATCCACACTGAATTTCATTTTGTTGTATGGGGCCCAGTATTCATGTCTGTCAATATTCTTCTGGATCTTGAGGCTGTCTTCTGGGATATTGGCCATTCCTTCTAGCTTACTGTCATCTGCAAATATGAGTTTCCCTTCTATTCCCTCATCTAGATCATGTATGAAAATATTTAAGAATATTGGGCCTAAAACGGAGTACCTCACTGTCCACCTCTCTCCATGTGAATTTAATCCCATTAAGGACTACATGTTGATTACTGTTTGTCAGCCAGTTACAAATCTATCTGGTGGTGAAGCTATCTATCCCAAGTTTTTTACTTTATCAAGAAGTAGGTTGTGGTCTAGTTTGTTCAGGTTTGTCAAGATCCATCTGGATGATGAGCCTATGTTCTGGAGTGTTGGCTATACCTGACAGCTTGGTATCATCTACAAATTTGATGAGTTTCCTTTCTATTTCCTCATAAATTGTTTATGAAGATATTGAAGAGTACTGGGCCTAAGACAGAACCTTGGGTACTTTACTGTTTGCTTCCCTCCATGTAGATGTAGTTACATTAAAGACTACACGTGGAGTGCAGTTTGGCAGCCAGTTTGAAATCCATGTGGTGGTAGTGTTGTCTATTCCACATTTTTTGAGCTTTCCAACAAGTAGAACACATTCAGTTTATCCCTTCAGCAAGAGAGGGAGATCTGCTGTAGCCAGTGATATTTTTCAGGCTTTTTCACACATTTGCTGGTTCATTTGTTGAGAGCTGATTCCTCAGCTTTTCAGAGTAGCTTCTCTTTACTGCCCTGACTTCCCTTGCTAATACATTTCTGGCCTGATTGTAGAGCATTCTATCTCCTTTCCTGTAGGCTTCTTCTTTGGCATGACATAGTTGTTTAAGCCAGCGGTCACCAACCAGTGGGCTGCGGCCGACTGGTGGGCCAGGAGAAAATTTTGGGCCGCAGAGAAATCCCCCTGAAAGCAATTAATCCAGGCTGAGCAGAAACACAAGGCTGTGCCGCCCACATGGCCCGCGGAAACCCTGCCCACTCACTCCTTACCCGGCAAACTTGCCTGCTAAATTACTATTTTTCCTTTTTCCGACCATCATCTGTTCGGCTGTGCCGGGAGATTTAGATTAGCTGGAAAGCAGGAAATGGTTGGATTTCTTGCTTTCTAGCTAGTCTTTAGATCTTTGGCTCTGCTTTTAAGCACAGCCAAACTTCCCTTAGTACTGAAGTTTCTATTATTCAGTGCAGATTCATGGCAAGCAAATTTTATGTGATAGACTGAGCTAGCCGATGGCAGATAGATAGATCACTGAATGATTCTGTGAGCAACTCAATCTTCCTGCCTGCTTTGCCTGGTTTTCGGTAAAAGTTGCTCTTTTTTAATAAAAAAATCAATATTTATATAAATATCTATAATAATAATAATAATAATAATAATAATAATAATAATAATAATAAT